CAACCAAGCAACCCCACGGGAGCTTGAACTCCAAGCTCATTCTCGAAGGCGCTGAGCGCCACCAGCTGGGGCTTGATGCTGCTGGTCAGGGCCTTACGGCCACTAGCGGTGAGCGCTGCAACTGCGACGCCAGCCACAGCAAGAGAGGCAGTGGAGCTGGGCGCAGCCTCGACATACAGAGAAGCTGGGATGTCCGTCATGTGACTTGACATCAATATTCAACATTCCTATGGTAGTGTTTAAGTGTTCGATTAAAATATGTTTAATTTAGTGTGGAAATGTTTAATAGGAAATACACCACTATAGGACAAAAGTTTTTCTTCTTGAAGGTCCCACATTGACAATCCTTCCCCCTTTTAATGCAATTTGTTGTTGTTCAATAAGCAGTGTTGCTAATGCAGTTTTGTAGGTGTTCAAAAGGCAGTATTTCGCATGCAGTTTGTAAGTTTTCAATAGGCCATCTTCCTGCCATGTATTTGGTCAATGTTCAATTCCTGCCAGATGTCTTAGTAGTGCGTAAGTGGTCAATGTTCGCAAAGTTCCTGTCCTGTCCCAGTTTGCGGCGTGCGACAGGTGCCTCCTGGATGGGCATGTGATTCCCAGCATGTGTATTTGGTAAATGCTCAACAGGCAAGATTCCTAATGCAGTTGCATGTATTCAAAAGTACATTACAGTAGTGCAGTTTGCAAGTGCTTAATAGTCGATATTTCTTAATGTGTAAGTGTTCACTGGGCGGTATTCCAAATGCAGCTTGTAAATGTGTAAATGCTGAACAGGTAATATGTTCGTAAACGTAGTTTGTATGTGTTCAATGAAGCAACATTCCTACTGTAATGTGGCTTGTACATGTCTGATGGGCAATATTCTTAATGTCCCTTGTTTTCGCTTCTCAGGGGGCAATACTTCGCGTGGTTTCAACATGTACAAAAGGCAACACTGGAACGTTCAATCCAACAGCTTGCCGCTAGCCTGGCTGGACTCGCCCCGTACACTCCCTGAAACAAACATGGAAGTGGACAAACCCATAAGCTTCATGTTCCTAGTAGTAAGAATGCTCCGTTCGTAGTGATGCCAGGAGCCCCGTTCGTAGCGCGTCCTTGCTCCTGGTAGAAAGGCCAGGAGCCCCTAGTAGCTTCTTGTTCCTGTGGACAAACCCCGCTGTTTGAGGAAAGGAGTCTTCCTTTCGGGGCTATGGAAGTCCCAGAGTCCCAACCAGAAACCAAGGGTTTTTCCGGCTTTCTTGAGATCCGTTCCATAACAAGTGGTTGGGCCGGCAGAGTTTGGTCCCAGATCCTCTTGCTACTAGTAGCTACTTGCTCCTAGGCTCCGTTCCTAGCGATGCCACGAGCCCCGTTCGTAGCGTCCTTGCTCCTAGTAGTGGTGGGGACTGCAGATGTCCATCCATTTGTTGAGTCGGCCCTGTTTGTTTTCCAGGGGGATATGGAAGTGGACCCTCTGACGAACACATCACATGGAAGTGGATGGCATGCAAAGCCCGTCTCACCCTGGTAGGGTTGACCTCCCTGGTTTTGGTGGTCTAGCTTTCCCAGTGTTCGACCCAAATCCAGATTGTAACCCCAGGCACTCCATGTGTGCCATGCCTGCATTGAATCCCCTGGCACCACCACCCCAGCTGATCGGCAAATGTGGTATATATCAGGACCTTCCTTCTGGTGTCTAATTTATAGGCTTTCTATCTCTCTCTCTCTATCTATCTCTCTCTCTCTCTCTCTCTCTTAGAAGTGATTCAGGGTGTCCCACTGTCCCACCGAACCTGGTTTCGGTCCCTGCTTCGGTCCGGCCGTGTAAACGGGCCACGCTGGACCGACGGACCGACCCACTTCTGCCTCCACAGGCTTTGAAGCAGCTGCGGTTGCTCGCAGGTGGCTCGATGTGCTGCCGGCGCCCGGTGTGACGAAGCTGGTCGCAGCGGTCAAGAAGGCAGCACCCGCGGCGGCGGCGACGGTGGTCTTAGAAGTAGAGGCCATTGCTTTTGGAAAACCGAAGGAGTATTAAGTCGAAAACCTGAAAGGCCAAAAATGGAGCGAACACCTAAGCTCGCTCGCACAGCCAGGTTAAAAGGGCAGCTTGAGCCTTTGTCTCGAACAGAGCACCAAAGATCACGCGCGAGAGAAAGAGAACACAGCATCGTGCCGCTTTTTGGTTTGTGCGGGTGTCCTTCAACGAAGACTTCAATGCTATACCAGTAGGGCCATCTAGGGCTTTGGGTGAAACTGACATCAGGAAAGACTGCTACGACGCCATCCGCAAGGAGCAACTCCCATGGCATAGGTGTGTCGGGGTGGCCATGTGCGATGATTGAGATGATTCATGATGATTCCCCTCTCCTTTGAACCCATCCATCAAAAACATACCTTGGATTTGCACCAGAAAATGGGGGACAAAAAAGACATCTTCCCAGAAAATGCGGGATTCACTCATACCTCCAGCTCAAACCCGGAGACCCGGATACACTCCCCCTAGGACTCCCAGCGTCTCCGCTCCGGACTCGCACTCCAGCTCAGACGTCCGTCTGGTCCGGATAGGAGCCCAGAAGCTCGTTGAAGAGCGCCGCGTTCACCACCACGGAGTACTGCGCCTGCGCGGCCAACAGATTCACCTGGCGCGGCTGGGCGGCGCAGGCGCGGGTGTCGATGGAGCAGTGGGGTGCCGAAAACTGGATCAGTCGAGACATGCTTGATGGTCTATTGAAAAAGGATACACTTGTTCCTGGGAGGGTCAATACCCAGGAGTATCAGAATTCAAGCTCTTCTCGAACGCTTGGGGTCGTTTCGGAAACATCGGGAGCAAGAACCTATGTAAACAGAACATTCCATTTAGCCGACTGTAATGTAGACTTGATTAAAAAATCTCCCAAAATGAAGAGGGTTGTTCGCATCCAAATGGGGGAGTGATTAATCAAGAATTGTTACCTAATTAGTGCAGTTCAATCTGAACCCATCTTCAGCCTTCCCTGTCTTCTTTTAACAAATCTCTCCAAAATAGAATAATAAAAGGTATAGTATCCAAAGAGCACCATTTCATCAAAACCTTTCTTGTTCCTCCCCGCCATTGAACTTGCAACGAAGATTGATATTAAAGCAGGCTTGTCACTTGGGATGTTCGATACTCTTGTCATCAGCCCTTGCCCACTGCGCCAACGGTACGGCCAACAAGCATGATGTTCATATATTTATATTTATAATGTATTTTTAACAACTATAATTGTACTGTATACTCAGATATATAGTTATATATATAGAACCTGAATGACCTCTATGTTGGATCACCAACCACCCAAAATAAGGTCTTTTCCTTTCAAAACGGAGGTCAAATGGGCTCTAGGTATACATATATATATATATACTACACACATAACGTTTATATAATATTACTTTTGTGTGTGTTCGTCACACTCACGAACGGATGAGTTGCTTACGCGTCTTGCTTGTGTTGGACACCGAACGGCCTCTCAACCGGTCGCCACAGCGCCATGACACATCGGTCGGTCCGGTCCGGTCGGTTGCCCCAGAATGTATACCTCATGCGGATCGACGGGATGCAGGTGGTTCACAGAGTATCAAAGACTATATATATATATACCCTAGAAGTCCAAAGACTATATTTTGACCGGCTGGAGTAAAGGAAGTTCCCTTTCAGGTCCCCTTTCAAGACCATTCTTTTTACATGTACCCTTCCAAGATGGAGAATAGAGGGGGGTACCCCTGGATTAATTTAAAAAATTAATCTGACTACCTGCAGAGTGTTTTCAGAAAATTAACCTGGAGGATGCTGCGTCTGGTTTAACTTTTAGGCTGGGGGGAGTGGAATTAATCCAGGGGTACCCCAAGTACTCTACATAATTCTGCCATATCTGAGCTCAAAGCACTTGCAGAGGTCTCGATTAATTTTCTAGGTCTCAAGTAAGTATACATCAGGCATATAGTCTTTGACTCCCAGGGTATATATATATATCACAGAAACAAAGCCTGAAAAACTGAGAACGCTCGATCGCGTGGCAACAAGAATTTCTGAACAAACCATGAGAGCCATGACTGATGACTCGTACTCATACTCATTTTGCCCCTAAAGTCTTGGTGGATTATGACTTCCAGGTGGGGTAGTTCAAGTCACGGAAGCTCGAGCAGTTACAAAGGAGGTGAAGGGTGCTATCCAGGAGGTTCGGTGAAGTTGCAAAGGGAGCTTTGGGCGCCTACCACGACCTCCTACGTACATGAGGCGGTCTTTTGGTTCGGCATCGCTTCTTTCGGGTGGAGGGTCCACGCGTCCACCAGCGGAACCCGTCCACCGGCGGAACCGGGGCCGTCGCCTGGGGTGTGGTGAGCCCCAGGGCGTCTCCCGAGTTGTTGCCCCTCGGAAGCAGGCGGAGAGTTCGAGTGAGTTCAGCAGTTGTCCAGTATCAAGAAAAATGACTGCAGGAAAATCTACTGGAAAGTTAAATTGGTGCAAATTGACCAGCACCTTAACCAGATCAAGTCAGGACAGAATAACAACAAGTTAGATAAGGTTACAGTGAAACTACTGCAAATTACAGCAGGTTTATCCCACACAGCAACGAGCAGGGGCTGGCCCACTGCACTTTTCTTTTCTCCAGGTGAGATATCTGTCTGGGTGAGACGCTTCCTCCTCATCGCCGCATGAAATTTGGGATCGCAACATTGCTTGTGTCGATGCCTAGGGCTGGCATAAACACATTAAGCGAGTTGTTTTTCTAGAAATCCCCACTACCAACAAAGCAGCGCAAAATCTGCTAAGCCGCAAATCAGGTTACGCGTTGTCCTCGCTTTTGGTTTAGCTGCTGCTGTAGCTGGCTGTTTCTTGCTGTGTGTTGACGCAGTTTTGCTTGAGCTCTTGTCCTTCCCACGCGCAGTTTCTGTGCTGGTTTTCGCTCCTTTTGCTGGCGTTTTCTTGTCCTTTTTCACGCTCTTGTGGGTTTCACCTTTCTTCTTGTGCGATTGTCGTTTCTTCGGCTTAGCGGTGGAAGACATTGCTTTGGGCGACGAGCTTTCTGAGGACGAAGACGACGATGACTCTGACTGAGGCTCTGGGGATGGAGATGGGTCCTCCTCACTGCTGGGCAAACATGTATCGGGTTTGTCTCGTTTTGCCTTTTTGGCTGGGGATTCGGTTGGGTTCATGTCGTTTGCTTCCTCTCCGCGTTTGGCAGCATCTATTTCCTTGAGGTCAGCCTCGGTTGCAAGGCATGCGTCTGGTTCCTGGGTGCACTTTTGCAAGGCGTCCAAAATGTCCTGCTTGCTGGGTTTTCCTGTCATGTCCTCAGATTTGCCAACAATGTTTAAAAAAAGATGCAGTGCCTAGTGCTAGTTGGCGTGCCTATCAATCACTAAGACGCGAAAACAATACCAGAACTTCACTGGCAAGGATCGCCGCCTTGCTTCTTGTGGTGGCCCCACAAAAACTGAACAACCAGCTGCAAAGCTGCCTCTTGAGTGCGGTTGGAAGTCCTTGCTCCACCATAAGTTCGGCTTGTCGAAAAATGGGTTTTTCTTCTGTTTTGAGCACCTCCCTTTCCTGCCACTTTCTCAAGCGCAGGCCTAGGGTAGTACCCTTCAAAGCAACTCATGGAAACTTGCCATGCAAGGTATACCTTAGGGCCTGGTGGCTTTAGCTGCTTGATCAACACTGGGGTCATAGCTTCAGCAGCAGCCTTTGCCCTTCCGACACGGGAAATCACATATTCAGTGCGCCAAACATCAGCGACTTGTCGCTGCAAGTCAGCAAAAAGTTTCATGTCCTCGTCCCCACGGTCTAAGACCTCAAAGACACTATGCAGTGTCTTGTTGCTGAGCAGCCCTTTGCGAGTTGTAGTGTCTAGCAATCTCAACAAAAGTTTTTCCTGCTCTTCCTCAGTCATCTCTGGAAACAGAGACTGGATCAAGGTCATCCTCAGAACGGAACACCGCAAAGAAAAGAGCTTCTTACCAAGCCACGTAGACATGATACACCCAAAACTTGTCGCCGTGTAAAACCCATAAACGTGATACAACCAAAACTTGTCACCTGCCAAAACCAAGAGTCGCCCACGATTTGTTGCCAACCCTGGTCTCCTTGTATTTCTTGGGTGTGAGCCCCAAACAAAGGACTAGCTTGTGGAGGAACTTGTCATCAACATTCTGAAGGCTACCATGCAGCAGAAAGAACTTACTGAGAGGGAGGTTGGCGCCAGATCGACGCAGCAAAATGCCGAGGTTTTTGTGACCGTGGGCCAACGGCGGACCTCAAGCAAGATGCCCAGTTCCCATGCCCAGTTCCCCACTCTGCTCTGCCTACTAAAACGATTAAACTAAACAGCAAGCCCTGAGCTTTAGAGTATACCACTACAAAGGACGCTCAAACAACCCGTGAAAAAGTGTTGGTTCCCTTCATAAGGCACAGATGTCAACAGGAATCCCCTCAAAAGCTTCCTCTCTCCCATCCACGGTCATTGTAGTAAGGCAAACGTAGCGAACCCGCGCATTGCTAGATCCTGCCGTCAAACCATCTGCTGCAAGTTGATACAGTTCAGGCTGGACCTCCTCGACCTCCCATAGAATCGCTGCTGAGAAGTGGAACCCCAAAGACAGGTAGACTTTCCCCAAGCAATCATCAGCAAGCTTCTCTTGGAACAATTTGCCACGTTCCAACGCAGCAGTGCACCAAACGGCTGATGCGTCAACAAAGGAAGTGCTGGCCAAACATCTCAGTGCTGTGATAGCAGCCACGCTCCTCCAATCAGCCTCTTGCCTCGCAGGCTTCACGGCCTGCACGTGAGACTGCTGGCCTGCCATCGGCTCTGTCAGCAAGCCTTCAGAGGGGCGAGCTCTGAAGTCTAAATCAGTTACAGGCGAGAGGCAAATAGGACAAAATCATACAACATCCATTGGAAAGGCTGAGCGCTGAACACTCAAACTTTATTGGAAAAACAGGCGCCTGAAGATTCTGCCTTCACCGCCTCATGCACTTGCTCCACAACCTTGCATGGGTTGCTCTTGAACTTTCTCGGCAAGAAAACAGTCTGTCTTGCCGTGCTCGTCTCATAGAAAGACTTGCTTCCCATATCTCCAGGCTGGACTCTTAGAAGTGGAAATTCTGTAGGGTCCCAACGCACAGAGAGCACGTTTTGAAGGAACAATCGCTCAGGAGAGGCAGCTTTGAAAGGATTGGAATTGCTGTTCTTGGCAAGCGACTTCAACGATCCCAGAACATCCTCCAAGCACTCCTTTGTGCTCACCAGGGTGTCGAAGCAAAAGAAAATGTGAGCAAAAACGCTATCCACCTGCCACCCATGGGCACACGCATGGGCCCACGTTTCCTGAGACAGGTTGACTGGACATCTAATCTGACAAACATTGATACAGGTTGCGAATCAAGAAAACCTGCTTAAAAGCTCCAGGGTTCATTCACCAATGTGAGCTTGTGGATCCACAAGTGGTCCAAGATCTTCGAGAGACCCTGCAGCATCCACCGGGCGAATGGTGGAAGTGAAAGGGCATCTCTAGCTCAGCTTCTCAAAACAAAAAACGGTGTATAGGAGAAACCTGTTTCATCTCCACAAATGACTTGGTTACCAAGCCCGCCTCCACGTCTGCAGCGGGGTGTTCGACAGCGCGCCATGCCTGCTGGACAACGTCAGAGTCCGCCTTCATTCTTTCCAGACCTTGCTGTGCCATTTCGAGATCTTCATGAAGCACAGAGGCCCACTGGTATGGTGCAAGTTGCGACCACAGGGACATGTTCCACGCTCGCTGCGAGGCAGCAGCCACAATCAAGGCGAAGTAGGTGTCGCAGTCAGTGAAAGCCTCTTCATCAAAGAAGCCCAACCGCTCCATCGCAGCGCTATCTGAGAGGAATGCGAGGGTTTTACCCACACACGAAGCCCACCCTCCAGCCGCCCATGAGGCTTGCACTGCCCGGTTGCCCTCTCGAGTCTTGGTGTCAGCCTGCAGCGCCAAATGCTCTTCACGCATTGCCACCTGGGAGTAGTATATCCTCATCATGTGACTGTTGAAGGGGAAGAAACAGTTCAAACATGACCGAATATAGTATAGGGTGACAACTCCTGAAAGATTGAAAAAGGCTGATGTCAAATCAAGTTTCTGCGTCGCGTAATGCTTCATTTGGACATCTCTCAGCACCTCATGAACCACATCCAGCGTGCCCTTCTGAGATTGCAATTCCCGAAGAAGCGCCAAAAGCTTGTCTTTTCTGTTCACGTTTTGCCCTGCTGCAGCAGCTGCATTTTCAGAAGGGGCCTCCTTGCAAGCGCGGCAAGTCGTTCTCAAAATTGAATTCCTTTGGTGTCCACACGAAACCACCAAAACAGAAAACTTGACTCGACATGCGGACAAGCAGCGGCATTCTCCTGATCAATGTCGACCTTGCCCATCACCGTGGCTCGAAAATCCAAGAGCTTTCTGAGAAAAGTCCAGAATCTACGCCACCCAGCAAAGCGGATATTCCAAGAGAAAAAGCGAGAGAGGGAAACCTGCAGGGGTCGGCCAACTGGGGCAAACCAACAGTGAACAAACAACTGAAGGACCATCTGCCAATTTGTGCCCATTTGCTTTGGCAGCCAACGCCTCTGATGGCTTCAGAAAGGATGTCATCGTGGACACCAAGACCCCATGCACATGTTCAGCAGGAGCTGCTGCGTCCAGGCCAAGGTCAGACCGCATATCAGCAAGGTCCACTTGAAACCTGGTTTTCAAGGGAGTAGCAGTGGCAGGGTGAAGGAAAGCAACCCAAAGAAAAGGAGAACTAGGACCTCACAACCAAAAAGTTTCCACGACCGCTGGAGAACTCCTCTGAGTGTGGGCCATGCATCTCAAGGTAGCTCAATGCCAGTGTTCCAAGCTGCTGCTGCGCATCGTAGGAGTCGAAAGGCTTCTTTAGCACGGACATGCAAAGTTTGGTCGCCGCTACTGCTCCTTCACAGCTATTGCATTTTCAACTACAAGCTAGTGCTTTGCTATTTTCCAAGTTTCCAAAAATACAAAACTCTCTTTTGCCAACAAACTGGTCCCCAGATTTGGCACTGCTTTGGGGCAGCAATGCTATCGTTTTGCAAGCGGTGGTGCTCATCGCGCTTGAGGAGCATCCGGAGTTTTGCCTGGTATGCCATTCGATGAAGCCATTTGATCCTGAGGCCGAACTATGAACACCAGCCACCCCACGCCGTTAATAATACCCATTAGACCTGTTGACTACAATAATAGCACGCCCTGTTGCAACGCTGTCGAGAGTCTGCTTTGGCTCTTGGTCACAAGTTGGTATCAGCGTAGGTTTTTTGAGGATGTCATCCAAAGCCCTGGCACCCTGAGGGGGGTCTGACGTTGGAAGGAACTTGTCCAAG